GGAGCTGGGTACCTGGAAGATGGGTTTAGTTAAGCCCAGTACTAGCAATGGTACTAACCATATGTCATCAAATCAACCAGCCAGTTCTGCTTCGCTCACCAGTGAATCCCGCACTCCCAGTACCCCCCAATTAGAGGTCTTCGCTGATGCACCCGTCCGTTCGCTGCGCGGCGGAGATTTAGGCATGCATTTCGCTCCTGATCTTGGATCCAATCACCAGGAGGATGAACGTGGTACTGTTCGACCCGTTGATGGGGTGAGTGCCCTCCTGTCTTCTGTTCTCCCCATTTTTTTGCTTAGTCTTAGATCAGCTACGCTGTGCCTAGTGGCGAGCTACTGGCTATTCTCAATCGAGGGAGATTTGACTGTACTCGGTGCGTAATATGTCACCTGTGCAGTCGACCAAATGATGGCCCCAAGTGCTAGGCGACACGTTTTTAGGACCTAGGTTTTGTAAGTCTACACTGTGCTGTCATTTCACCGATCACCATGAATGATGACATCACTTTGGAAGAACTACCTTAACACTGATGTTCTCACAAAAGCCTCCATAGTCGCTTCCATTTGTACCTTGATGCACGGAAAGTAGGTAATCAGTACAATTTTTGGTCGCGGCCAGAATTTTTTCTGCTCGGATCGTTGAATGTCCAACCGCACGTTTTGTGGATATTGTCCTTTTAGAATTGTATGGGCGACCATGCCGGTGGCATGCTATCGAAGTTACTAGGATTGATTAAGGCTGATTAGCAAAGACAAACGCCTGCGAACGTTGAGAAGAGTAACTTATATTACCCCATCTCCCGTATCGGGGCCGTGTAGGCTGCGACCATCTGAAAACTAGCTCTTCCGGAACGTCATCCCGCGTGACTTCAACACCGGCGGCTGTCGACGGCGTAAGGTTGACCAGTGGGGACTTGGGTGCGTGTGATGGAAACTGATCCAGAGTGCATCAGTAGTTCTACGGTGTTCGTATCCGTGACTAACATACTATATGATCTATCTCCGTTCTTGAATTTTCTGCCGATCGACTGCACAGGAAGACACTCGTTTACAACAACAGGGACCCAGTGAAGTCAGTCTTGATGAATACCTTAGCAGAACAGAGCCAAACATCGTATGCCCTGAATTGCTTTTTTTCAATACCTGTTTCGTATCCGAAAGTCCGTCTTGTCTAACTTCTTGATGAAAGGCAAACAACTGCAGAGAGCCTATCGACCTTCAGTTTAAACTTATTTTCCTTTTCTTCCACAGGAGGTGATTGACTTGGATCTAGCACACTGTGGCGGTTACCCCGTCATCACGACAACAAAATCAGCTCCACCGAAGGAACTTTGCTATGCTTGTGGCAGTGGCGGAGGCCAGGTCAGTTTCGTTCCATACATTATCAATTATGTCAGTTGTGGCCACAGCCAATCGCAGACTGTCTTCGCTGGCAAAAGTAAATGGAGACCTGCAGTAGACGTGCAATCTCATGAAATGTTAACTGAAATTCTGAAATGCTTTTGCGATTCGAGCATTTCTAGCAATGGTACTTATCGTACAGCATAATCCTAAGAGATCCCAGTCACATCAAGATACTGACAGTTAAATTAGCTTCTTGTCGGCCACCTGCGAAAGCTACAATCCGCAAAAAGACTGCGCAAGTAGAATAACTTTTCCCCATTGATTCTAGATGACCTTTTAAATTCAAATCTATTCAATAAAAAGCACACACTTAGTGGCAATCGTGTCTTCGTCGGTCTCTTTTGTACATTGGACTGCCAACACTTGCATTCCAGGTCGCATCGATAGCCTACATTTTGTAAAAAAAATCACCTTACCCTTCTCCGACTTAACGGTGTCCCAATGAGTATCAGTAAAACTCTGAAGCCTGACAAAAATTTAAACGAGTCTATTTTGAGTCATGATATTTGCGAAAGTTGTCTAGCAGAAAGTGGATTCTGTAGTTCTCAGAAGTCCTACAAACTTTCCTCACGTTGACAAATACTCGATTCTGCGTTTATATCAAATAGCTTTATGATACTCTACGAAACTCCTGTCTAAGACACTATTCTTCCTTCGAGTGTGTATTCTGTCCGAAGCATTTGTGAGTGTAAATCAACTCTTATCCATCAACTAGCTTGTTAGGTGGTCTCGAAACTTTCCGAATTTTCATAAACCTCATAGCACATAATTAACATCTATTCCTTGAATATTTTTTGGCCCATGCCTGGTTTAGAGTCGTCTGTTTGCCGGATTACGAATATCCTCAGTTGCTGCTGTTTACGTTACTTTTATCGTCATAAGTAATTAGATCTGTCGTTGTGCTAAAGGCGGCGCAGTAGTCACTTACTCCTGTGTCTTTATAGGGGAGGAAAATATATGCAGCATCTACGTCTCACTTCAGCAGCAAGGCGACTGGCGATGATCTTTGACGCAATTGCTCATAAAGCTAAACAGCCCGTTAATGCGTGCAGCACTAAATCTTACCGCTACCATTACGTTTCAAAGAAACATGCGTGTTATAAGGGCCATTTGAAAGTGTAAGCCTGATCGTCCACCCAAAGAAAGGTCAGGTTTTCCCTCTAGTTGATCGCTCTTTAAGCCACACGTGTTGGCGCGTCAGGGTAGTTTGAAAGCGCGATTTGTTGTTTACAAGGAGAGAACTAAGCGGTAGATCCCAACTGAAACCGTACTCTTCCGATTTCCACACGAATGCGGCTTGTTTGATTCAAGTTACGGGGGGCTGGCAAGCAGTTGTGCGCTGCAAATCTGGCAGCACTGATAACGTCCACAGTCTTATTGTGACCTAAGTCTTTTCTTTTTAAATGATATACACTCCCATCAAATACTAATCTGTCTTGAGCACCATATTTCAGACAACTACCCGCCTTTTCTTTACCGCTTATGCTTGCTTTTTTTTTCTTCAGCTTCTGTTTTGTGTGTCCTGTGCTGAACCCTTCCACTTCTACTGTGTTGAACGTCAGTTCCGTCCACGAAGCAAGGACCACTATGTTTGCCGTAACTGCACCGCATGTCGTAGGTGTGGCCAGCTGGCGGCGGAATTGAAATGTATTCGTTGCTCTCACGGTTTCCATCCGAGCTGCCTTCCCAACTACGCCCCCGCCTTTTCCACCCAGCGAGGCAAATGGGTAGGTCGATGAAGTTTAAAGTTGTCTTTTTCCTTGTCGATGTGCTATGTGTATTAAGAGCTGGCGGCAGTCGGCCTAGGCATCTTAAACAAACTTTGCCACTTGTTTAGCGGTGATCGGAGGACGACAGACTTCTTCCCATTCATACAGAAGCTCCATTCTTTTTACCCATTCTCCTGCCACTGTGTTTTATTTATTTTGTGAAGTCGTTACTTCTGCCATTCACCCAGCCGAACCAACGTCGAATGAAAGCAGAAGAATCAGTAGACTAAGTCACCAAGGGTGACGATGAAAAGCTTAAATGTACTAACTTTTATGCGCTCTGAGCCATATCAGTGTCTTAAGTGTCGTTATTTGGGGGGTTACCAATTGGCGGTATTATTTGGTTCTCCGCTGTAGTAGTTCTTTCCTGTTGTGATCTTAGGGCAAATCTGACTGAAGTGCCATCTGCCTGATCAGTCACGGCCTCCGTGCTCATCTCCAGTCCTCTTGGTTTTTCTTTTTCCATTGGAGCATTCAGTGAAAGTGGGATAAGGTGGTACGGTCTGCATTACGCGAGTCTTTCTCAAGGCTGCTTCGTTTTGAGGCGTCCGCCGTCTTTTGTTCGTAGGACCGCCATTGCTCTTGATAAGGAGCTACTTCTGCGGGTTTCCGGGAAAAAAGTACAATCAGAGCGCTGCTTCATCATTGTCGGGTAGTTGAATTCTTCTGACCCGCGCGTATATTCAATTTCATAA